CCCCCCCCCCTTTTCTGGCACGGATCTGTTCTTGAGTGGAACAACTTCAGGTCAGTGCTATGGTACACAGATGGCCACGACTTAACAAACTCACAGATTTAGCATGCTAAGTAATGTTTGATAGCCTCTTCCAGTTTCCTAAGGTACAGGCCCAGGACAGGCATCTTGTGTCTGCTTTCTTTTCCTCAGCTGTAGAGTGTCAGATTTGATGCTCTATGCTGATGATCCCTGAATGTGAAGTGAAGTGAAGTTACAGTCTTAAACTCGAGACCTTTCAAAATCACATAATCCTTCTTTACTGTCAAAGACATAGATGCAGAGAAGTTATCCAGTTAGTGTCAAATCGTTAGGGACGCTGTTGTGGGCTTTCAATGAGGTAACCATGGGAAGGGATTAGGGTTTAGAAACAGAATTTCAGAACTGAGTTTGCAGTGGCAGGGGAGGGCACAGATGGATTAATATCCATGTAAACCACAGGATAGGACAGCGAAAGAACCAACACAAACGGCTTTGCGAAAATAATGACACATAAATCCATAATCCTTAGAATAAAAGGACATTTCTCTTAAACATGCAGGTTGTGTAGAGACAGTCTGTCATTAACTTACAATGGTTTCAGAGAAGTAGGATGAATTCAGTAAACAGTGTGGCAGAAATACTTCACAATGCTTGGGTCCCTGGTTACATTTGCATTTTATTTTTCATGTTCCTCCTTGAACTTCTGTCTCCAAACTTTTACAGATTTTCTCTTTTGGATTTTGAACAACAGTCTGACCTTTTCCCTGGAGAAATAGACCAGCTGGGCAGCCAGAATTTGTAGGCTTCTGGCTTTGGGTTAGCTGAGAGAATTGTCTTTTTTTTTTTTTTTTTTCAATTGGAGTGAACTTGGAGTAGGGATGAAAACATCTTTTATCTGCTTTTTTTCTTTATTTTTTTTTAATCAACCAAGTAATAGTTGCATTCATTGAAGTTTCCCAGACAGTAAAACTACTTGATAATTTTGCAAGCTTGACTTTGACCCAAGTACAATAAAGGTTAGGCTGCTGAGAGTAGGCACACTCACCCAGTTTGGGCTTACAAAGAAACCCAAAGGAGTTTATAAGAAAGTGATTTGTCATGGACCCAGAGGACTGACTCCTTTCTCTTTAAGTTATTATTTGCAGCATCTTGCTGTTGGTCACAACATATTTATCATGTTCATTTTTATTATTATTTTTTCTAGATACTGTTATTCACTCTTATCTACCCACAGAAAGTACAACCATTGGCTATTTTAAAATGGCTATTCCCACATTTAAAAGTATTAACATTTGCTTGTTTTCATTCTTTCTTGAGTGAGAAACAGATTTTCTTATCACCCATTGAGAACTAAGCCCACAAGAAGTAGGTGCTCTAAGGAAACACAACATAGACAAGCAACTAGGGTTATCTTCACAGAACACAGCACGCCTAGAAATAGGAATTATGTGGTGATCTTGGTCTAACCTCAGACAATGGAAAAGTTGAATTATCTGGACTTAGATCCCTTCTGCTGATTATGTGAATGGGGTTGAGAGAGGAGAGGGTGCCAGAGATGATTCAGAGGTCTAGGTGAGTTTTAACTAGTGGTTTCATAAAGAGCAGGAGTTGTGTTTAAAGAAGGACAATGTTACTCTAGTTTGGACCTTCTGAGACTAAGGTCTATTTGTTCAGCGAGGTCAATGGGCAATGAGCCTCTGTATAGATTCATTACCTGCTTCCCATGTGAAGGGAAGGCTGAAACACTTCTATGTAGATATGTGCTGTTTCAATGTAATTTCCCACCTCACCACCTTGCTACAGAAATGAGAGCGTGTACACTTTATCTCCACATGTAGGTGACTTGGAAGCACCATCTAACTTAGTTATATCTGAGAGGACTCACCGTTCTTTTAGAGTGAGCTGGACACCTCCTTCTGACAGTGTGGACAGATACAAGGTGGAATATTACCCTGTTTCTGGAGGAAAACGCCAGGAGGTGAGCACACAGGACACTTAAGCTTCCTTTGTCATGCTGAGATTGGGTGCTGCTCAGTAGAGCTCAGAGGGAATCATTGGGCGAGGGACGGCAGATGAATGAAGAATGGTACTCTCTGTTCCTCTCAAGGCAGGCGGTTCTCTTTGAACTTCATTAAAGGGAAATAGCTTTAAAAAATATTCTTAAAGAATGTTCTTAATACTGCAGACGATCAGTGTGATTTTTCAAACAAGTTAATTGATTTGTAAGTTTGGACTAGACTCATGAAGTAGATGAGGAAATCTTAATAAGGATGATACATTTTACTAGTTTTATAAATATGGTGACGATAGCTGGGGAAATAAGTTACGTAATCACCTGAGATCTCTCTGTAATCTAGTAATTTCTCAAAATAAAGGGCAAAGTCTCATGAGATACGTTCTACACTTCCGGCAGATGGCTGTTTGGAGGTCTAGCATGAAGAGTGGAGTTGATTCTTACTCCTTTTATTTTCCCCTCCAGTTTTATGTGAGCCGACTAGAAACCAGCACAGTGCTGAAAGATCTGAAGCCTGAGACCGAGTATGTTGTGAATGTGTACTCTGTGGTTGAAGACGAATACAGCGAGCCTCTGAAGGGCACAGAGAAAACCTGTAAGTCACCTGGGAAACAGCAACAAGGATATAACCCATTATTTCATTTCCAAGACAAAGAGGTCATGGAACATGGAAGATTTTTGCCAGCCTTTGACAAATCCGCTGTGTTCCAGTCATTGATGTGTGAAACTTACATCTTAAGTATTTTTTTTTTAAAGAAGAACGAAGTGACATAATGTGTTGGTAACTTCTGTCTGAAGTTCTATGACTAAAGAATAAAATAGTTAGCTTAGTGATGTTCCAGAGAAAAAGGATTAAAATCTCAGAAAGTTTATCTATTTTGGCTCTCGTATGGTTTCACTGGAATGCCATTTGTAATCTGAACTTTGAACGTTTTCCTCTTTTTAATAGTTGGAATGTGTGTCCTAGAGAATGAAGTACAATGAACACTGACATTGGGTCTTCATGGGTGGAGGAAGCTGTAGTAAATCATTAATTTCTCAAGCAACACATTCTCTGTTTAGCATATATATTATCAATAAAATAGGAAACACTTGTTTGAAGGGATTCGACTGATGTCCACTTTGGTGTTTTCATAGTGCCAGTCCCGGTAGTCAGCCTGAATATTTATGATGTTGGCCCCACCACCATGCATGTACAATGGCAGCCTGTGGGAGGAGCTACTGGCTATACTGTGTCATACCAACCAGTTAGAGCCCCTGAAGCAACAAAACCCAAAGAGGTGAGAGATGTCTGTTTCTTAATCACTCGGCTTTTCTCAAATTTTATAGGTCGACAGTCCTATTATACTGCCAGTATTTATGAATCAATTTATAACTTGAGACCCCAAACAAAAATAGAAATGAGGTTTGTGACATGCAACCCATTTTTTTAAATATTGTAGTGAAACAAAACAAAACAAAAAACCAAACCAGTTCTTTTGAATATAAAATCTGTGTTCTAATCTAATGGTTGCTAACAGGCTTCTGCTGAATCTTCCAGTGAGTCAAAGCTTTTGACTCAAATGTCTTATCTCTCCCTGGCATTTCCTTGTGCAGATGCGTGTGGGGCCAACAGTGAATGATGTGCAGCTGACCGGCCTCCTTCCTAACACAGAGTATGAGGTCACTGTCCATGCTGTCCTGCATGACCTCACTAGTGAACCTGCCAAAGCTCGGGAAGCCACGTGTAAGATGTTTCTCCTTTCTTCCTTTTGTTGTTGCTGTTAAATTTAACATTTGTTGGAATACTTCCACATGCTGTTGGTGCTAGTTGGACAATGCATGATTATTGTTATTAGTTGTAATGTGAACTCTTTCTGCCTGCCTGATCCCAGGGCTGAGTCAGTCCAAATGAACACAGGAATGCTATAAGACATACATATACACAAAAGAACATTCCCCATCAATGAATTTTTTGTTAACATTCCATATATTTATACACTATACTTACCTTATATTTGTCCTTTTACACTGCTCTGTACCCTTTCTACTCTCCTTCTTTATTTCTCTAAGTAGAACCCTTTCTGATACTATATTCTGTCAAGTCATACCATGTCAGGATCCATCAATCTATCAGTCAATCTGTCAATTTATCTTTACATCTATCTAGCTTTCTTTTTATGTTTAATGAACCTCATATTGAGGCATATCTTATAATCAGCAGAGTTTTAGAGTTGCTCTGAGCAACAATGTGCTAATCATGGCATAGATATTAAATAATACTGCATGTTTTAATCCACGAAGTGCAGTACGTAAGACACATGAGACCAGGACTATTGTGTGACTATAGTTTGGAGAAGGGTACTTAGGTTAAGTTCAAGCATTTTGAATTCTTGTTCAAGAGGAAACTCACACCTATGAATGCTCATTTCAAGTATGTCAATTAATCAGTCCACTCAATCCTGTAACACTTTGATCACGAACTGTATCCCAGTCGTCAGGATTGGGGTTGGAGATATGCCACTTGATGATGTAAAGCAGTGTGCAGAAGGCCTTTTCTTGGACTACAGTTATTCTGTGTGTTTTTCAGTGTCTTGGGCCAATGAGGATTGTTTCCCTGAGGGTTTAATACAATCCCTTCCTAGAGAAGTGTACTTTGATTTTGCTTGGAGAAGTAAAAATTTCTGGGATATATGTATGGGTTAAGTTTAGTGTTCCTTAGCCTACCCTTCTAAGGAAATTGATGAAGGAACTTCAAGGGGAAAAAAGATATTGAGGAAACATAAGCATCATGCAGCAGAGAAAAGAGAGAGCCTGGCAGTATAAATTTATTGACAACTTATAAAGATTTATCATTTCTATGTGTTAGATACTAATCAGGCATGGTGGTTTTGTGGATGTGGGTAGTGATGCATGAGAGGGTGGGATTCAGTTCAGATTGGAAACACATGTCCTGAGGTGGCTGGAAGAGAAGGACCAAGATTCACAGTGAGATGACAGACAAATGGCACCAGGGATTTGAGAATGGTTATAGATACAGTGGTTCAGGGAAGGAGATAAGAGAAAGATGCAAAGGCAACAAAACAAAAGCAATGAAAAACAGAGGGGAAGAAAGATAATGGTAGAAATAGAGATTTAAGAAGAGAGATCTGCAGAGTTGAAATAAGGCAAAGAGAAATGACCCAGTGGGCAGCTAGAAAGAGGTACATCCATTGCAACAAGAGAAAATTATAAATAAATAAATAAATAAATAAATAAATAAATAAATAAATA